TTTTTATTATTCGGTGGAAAAAAGGTTAGAGTATTAATAAAGATCAGGCCTTTAAATAGATGCTATATTGAGCAGAAAGGCTACACCGTGATGTTACGAGTCGGACTGGATCCTGGTATCGGTTTACTCTAAGATGGGCTTCCTGATGGAAACGCCGGACTCCTCTTTAGTGTGAGAGAACCACCCAGGAACACCTACCAGCTACTATGAGGTAAACCGTTGGAATACCCAGGAATAAGAAATATCAGACTTATGAATTCATTCCTTTTGCATATGTTTTAGCAACTGCTTGCTCCAAATGCTTTACTTCCATATATTATTGCAAAGCTCATATTATGCACTATCGCACCGTAAGCTATACAGTATAAATTGTGTTCCAACAATTTTTAAAGGTCAAACTTTCAGCTGTCAAAACAGTAATTGTGACAAATCCACTTCCACGAATATGCAACCTCGGACGTAGCACAGCCAACCTGCTCGAAACATTGACGGAGTAGGGAACCGTGAAAGTGCAACGTTGCTTTGGAAAATATCATCATGGATAGTTCGACCTTGAAGATTAGGAAGATCACGGACGTATTGACACCGATAAGTTGGAAGATTTGTTGGAATTAAATACGTGCGGAACTGTTGGAGAACTTGAAGTGCTCTGTTTAAGTATTTCACTTGTTTTGAAGCATTCAAAGAGCATTAGAAAGTCGAAGAAGCTCGATAAGTGATTGCCGCATGAATAGACGACAATAGAAGAAATCGCCGTTTTGGGAAAGTGGATCCTGCACGACAGCCGGCGACGACAAACTTAATGGTTCGTCCACGAGTACTTCCCACATTGCACTAGAATAAGGTCAAGCGTATGATCTACATCTGGTTTGATAGGTGCATTATCCCCATGATTGCATGAGTTCAGGTATAATATACTTGACCTCATGTAATGCATGCGGCAAGGAATATATCGGGGAAACGGGTAGACCACTTGGTGTCCGCATAAAAGAACATCTGGATGGAAAAGCTAAAATCCGTTTAAACACCCTCTAGGTACGCATAGGGCACAAAAGCACAACGGTGATGATTTTGAAGTGACTGTCCGGATCATGGCCCAGGGATCGAAAGCGTCAACGCGCAAAACTCTTGAGGCGCTTTCGATAAATTTCAAAAATCCAAAAATGAACCGGAAAGACGAATACCTCACTATCACGCGTGACCTGGCGCCATATTTCAAAATGATATTTTGACTCCGGAGTGTGTCTCGCGGCCCCGCGTGAACAACGCGTGAGCCAGTCCCACATGTAACATCGCGGTGAGTAGCCTTTCTGTTCAATATGGCGTATATTTAAAAGTTTGATCTTCATTAATACTTTAACCTTTTTTCCACCGAATAATAAAAATATTCTAATATAAAATGCGTCCAGTCTCTGAGGAAGGCGAAGTCGCCGAAACGTCAGCCATCGACCAACAACAAACATCAACAACAACGACAACGACAACGATGACCTGTACCAACTTCGCGTCAGCTTAAGAAGATCAGTTTATAAGATCATATAAATGAATATCGTAGGATACCATAATAGAAAAGCAGTAAACAACCAAAAAATATGATTATTACTATTTATTACCCAAGAAGGGGAGCACTTAGCGCACTGGTTAGAGGCGCTTTGCAATTATACATGGGTTTGAACCCGTGCCTCAGACTCACTAAGCCTTCCGTCCTTCCGGGGTTGGCAAATAGGTACCATACTTGTCTGGAAAGATAGTAGCCCTAACTCTAAGTATTGGTATGCTACTGCAAGTCATTGTACAGTCCAGATATGGACTCAATCACCTCTAACGCTGTAATGAAGTCGAAAGCAGGAGCCTTTCTCAGGGATTGACGAACGTCGAGAGCTTTATCTTTTTTTATTATCCAAGATGGAAGAAGGTGTGTAGCGTAGCAGATAGAGGTGCCATGCAATGCGCATGAATTCGTTCCGGCGCTGCTGGCTCGCCAACCCTTCCAACATTCCGTGGTCGGCAAATTAGTGCCAAACCTTCTCGGAAGGATAGCAACACTCATTTAATACATCGGTATGCCAATACAGGTTATTGCCTAGGTCAGATATGCATTCAGTAACCTCTAGTCATGCTCGACAAAATCAAGTGCATGGGGAATTGATCGATCTCGAAGGGTTTATCCTTTTTATCCTCCATTCAACGCAGAGAGCAATCTCGGCACGCATACCTACGTCTTATTAGTCAATCATGTGCGAATTCTTAAAAAACTGATAACAAGAAGACCTTAATAAGACTTCAATGCCGATGAGCTCTCATGAGGTCCCAGGTTTTGCTCACATCTTAGCTTCCTTGTGCTTGGATTCTAACCATATTGTTAAAGATCTGGTTAAATTAAGATATGTCTTTAGCTTAGGTTTCACATTTGGTTTGTGCTCGTGACGCGGTCATAGATATTTCGCTCAGTAACACGAGAAAATCCTTAGTTCAAACCATCATCTAACCAAGTAAGCCTGCCACCAAGTTCGGCTGAGAAGTTCTAAAATCGGTGTGGGAAACGTTAACTGATCCAAAAATGTTAACGATTTTATTTGGCGAAAAGCTTTGAATGGTTTACCATGGCTATCGAAGATTCCAGGGAGTGTTTACTAGACTAGAATTCAATCAGGTTAACAAAGCAATTTTAAATCCTCAAGCGGTAGTCAAGCCCACATGAAAATCTGCATATCTTCTTAGATATCGGATCCAAGGAAGCGAATTGATTGCAAGGTGTGCTGTGATCCGTCTAATATGTGATGTCGGTTCGTGTAAAATAAAGTGTAGGCTTTAGGTTGTTCAGTTCGATGGCAACAATATCGATCTTGGCACTGTCGTGACAAATGGTCAGGTAACCGGATACAAGGACAAGGAGCTATACGTTTATGGATCAAGGGTTAATACGTTCTCTTAAATATCCCAAAAAATTTTGACTGCCATTCAAATTAAAGGCGCCACAACAATGGCAAACAATAAAACACTCGTGAATAACTTTATGTAATGTACATATGTTTGGTCCTCGTTAGTCCTTCAATGTCTGAATTTAACAGTGCTTTTCAACGTCGCTCTACAGGTGCTACTATCCGCTGCCGATAGCGGCACTCGTCTGACGATTGAGGAAAACGGCTGTCGATTCGAAAACACCCAGCACTTCCAGGTTTGCGAAAATTCTAGGTTGTTTTAAAAAATTAACGATATTTTAAACTCTCTTTCCTTGAACTCGAGTATTAGTTTTGATCTACTTCAGAAGACCCCGGCAAGTTGCCCTTGAGTACACCCAGTCCTCCACGACCTGACCCGATAAACTACGCACTTCTCCTAAGTATACTGGAAGCAAACAACCTTTAGGTAGGATAACCTAGAATGATTTATAAAATTGGTAAACGGTGTGTTCTCGGCAACACGAGTTTGCCCATGAACATGGACTCGTTTGATCGGCCTGATTCCGACAGTTACTACTCGGCAGGATAGATGTGGATCGATACCAGTATTAACAGTGTTCATCATTTTCCTATTACTGAGTTATGACGATGAATCCAGAGATTCTTTATGGATTTGAGGAAGTTCTGTATGGACGATTATAGCCTCTAAAGCTTCTTTGGTAACATTCGGCAGTACCAGAGCGTGAGGAGAAACCTCTAATACCTCGAATGATTGTCATATTTGGATATACAGTTTGATCAAAACGTTGACAGGTTGTCTAAGTCTACCAGAATGACTTAAATCACTCATGGTCACTCAAAATTTCAAACGCCCCCTCTCAGCAGGACATTCGAGTCCCACAGTAAAGAGTACCATAAACAACATTAACGCAAACCGAAAGTTTTATTTAACCAGGGTGGCTCCTAAAATCGTTTCGAATTTTCACGTTAATGAACCATCGCCTTATACGTGTAATATTTGTTCTTCCGAGGAAAGGAGGAAAAACCACAAAATTCAAAAAACGGAGTTTGAAGACCATCACAAACAGGGATTTGTTTTTTTTCTCTAACCAGTATTTGTAAGATTTCTTTATCGATAATCTTGCTCAGGAATAATAACCGTTTATGTAACATATTCGAAATGGTTTTGAAATGATGGAGACTTTAGAATTTTCAAGAAGCGGTCGTCTCCAGAGGCTCCCGATCTGACATAGCATGGAGCTGAAGGTGCCACAAGGAGTTAGTATAGTTACAAGTTTGCGCTTGAGCTCGCAAAAGTCTGAATAAGAGCAGAAAGCTATTTTCTGTAGAGAGAACAACAGCAATACAGATCGATGCTGCTGTAGTTGGTAAGAGCATCCTCAACACTCGGAATAAATCCTCGCCAATCCGACAGCTAAATAATCAGATTTTGGTGTTAAAACAGTGGCTTAACTGCATCCAGAAAGGCAGTGGAGAAGATCTCAGACGGCATCTGGGACCTCTTGGACAGCCATATCTGATTAAATACACCAGAATATCCCTGAAGGCTTAAAAAGGAGGAGGAAACGAACGGCTTAAGGAACCCACAAAATCATCAACGGCCTAATGAAAAAGCGCTTGAACCACCCAGGAAAAAAGTTTGGTTTCTATATTTTTGGCGTAATGGTTTTCCATACCTTTGTCTCAGAAATTTACAAGTTACCTAGACAGAATAAAAGCGGGATGAGTGTTACTGACAGGATGATGCTTACAGTATCTCGTATCACTCAAGTAGGTGATCTGGATTTCCAACCTCCGTCAGTGTTTGAGGAGCATGGAGGTGATCACATAGCCAAAATCTCAGGAATCATTAGGGCATAAAGTACATTGTAATAGTGATTTTAGACGATAGCTGTCCTCACTTTGGTTGCTCGAAACACCAATCGCACAAGAAGAGCACCACAAGCGAGTTGGTCCGATTTCTTTACGAAGATAAAAAAAGCCATTTCGTGTTCCGTTAGGGAGCTCAAAGCACTGGACAACTATATCAAGTGACAGAAATAACTGAAGTTCAGTGGAGCTCATTAGGATTATTTGATGATCAACGAAAGGACTGAGGAAGATACCGATTACCTTTGTCACATCAAATGTTTTAGCAGCTTAAAAAGGAAGTTCTTCATATGAAAAACCACTTGTTCGCACTTGCAACAACAATATTTCCTTTCAAAAACCTCAATAAAGCCAAAAAATAAACAGTCCCAGGTTTTTAAAGTGATTAATTACAGTATTTTGTACAACCACACGATCAAAACCTTCAATCAGTACAAAGTATATTGATCGATATGTCAATGGCTTTGATCTCACGCTGCTTAAAGAGATGGCCATATTAGTATTAAACGCTAACTACAGTTTACCATGTCATTTAGATTATCTCAACAGAAACGCTAAAGCCACTATTCAGCGCTCAACATCCCGTTATCACAATCGATAACCGCATTAAAAAACTCTCAACGAATAAAATTGTAACAAATAAGGTGAGCACTAACAAAGAAGCTGACCAAACCTTAATGTAACCTTTTAAGGAAAAAATGTACTCAGAAAACGTACGTAAGGAGAGCTAAGAAACCTATGTACTTAAGATTCGCTCACCTATCGATGAAAGCCTTAAAGTTGAAGTGGAGAATCTGTCGATACGTGGTAATGAAGGAATTCGCATGGAAGCCAATGCAATGAAGTTTTTCGGATCTACGTCGGTTAACCTCAACACTTCGGTAGGTTTAATGTGTTAAGAAACTCCGATAATCTATCAAGTCCGGACCTCGAAATCCATTAACCCATGCGCGGCGACACAACCTCGTATGACTTATATGGACTCACGCGACGGAAAAATGATGGGGCTATCTAGCTTTAAATCGACACATAGTAGCTCGTACCAGACTTTACTAACTGAAATAAAAACCATTAGAGCACTCAAATTCTTGCCTACGAGGTGTAAGCTACTTTATTCTGCCAAGGGCTCGTGCAGCGCAGTGGTCGGGGCGACCTGCAACAGGCGTGCGATCGATCTCCGCGCCTCTGGCCCACGAAGCCTTCCATCAATCCTGGGTCGGTAAATTAATACCAGACTTGTCTGGTAGTATGGCAGCACTGTCTTGATACATTGGCAAGCCACCGCAAGTCATTGCAAAGGCCACATACGTATTCAATCACCTCCGAGCGATGTTTAATGAAGTCGAATCCATGGCGCGTCTATAAGGGTTTGATCAACGCCGATAGCTTATCCTTATTGACTTTAACGTTTCGACGACTTCGTCTTCATCAGAGCGGATAATCCAAGCTGATGGTCCAAAGTTGTTCGTCGTCTCGATATGGTGTCTTCGACGTCTTATCGAGTCGGATCATCTTGAGTGGAGCTTGATAATGACTAAGTTTGATAATATTTTGTGTTTCAATGGATAAGCCATCTTCCAGCAGTCGGTAATATGTTACCTAGTTTATAGCGAATATTACAATATTTTTCAAAGAGAGAAAAAAAGCAGAAGAAAAACCCAAACTGGGAATCCAACAAGGTATTGATCATTACTACCAAGGTTAAGTGAAGGTCGGTTAGAAACATATTTTGCAACTCGTTATGTACTAGCTAACATAACCCCGACTGCTGGAGGATGGATTAACAGATGAAAAGCAAACTATTATCGATAGTTAGTTATTATCAAGCTTTACTGAAGATAATCCGACTTGATATTCGAAACGCCACATCGAGACTACGAAGAACTGTTGACATTGCCTCGGGTTATCGGCCCTGAGGAAGATGAAGAGGCGAAAACTTAACCCAATAAAGTTGTTTGTTGTATCAACCTCATGTTAGTTCGTCAATGAAAGAAGGTACCGATCATTCACGCCGAGGTTAAAAGGAAATAGGTTTGTGAAGTATTATTTCGTAAAGTTCAGAGATTCAGATTGCTTGAGGGGGTTGTGAGGTTATTGTTTGTAGTATTGTTGCAGCAAAAAACACTATAGTTGGTAATTTACTACACTAATTCATGACGTCACTCTACAGCGTGATGGCTCGATTCGTCTGAGCGGCGCCGTGAGGCTTGACACGTCTTCTCGTGGTCTGCCACTTTCAGCATCTCCAGCGCTTTCAGCCTCGATCGACGCATTCCGTGTCTGCGTTTGCCGAGGAACACAAAACAAGTTATTTCTCACACCTGGCAACAAACCTTGTGAAGCAAGCAACGCTCTATGTACATAGTGAGACATGTTATTAAAAATGTTTATTGATAAGCCTGCTTATTCTGGTGAAAATACAACATGAAATATTAACAACAACATCCATAACTTTATAGGAGTCCACAATTTTTTAAGTTACAAACACTAAAATCATCCCTAAACAAGTCAATTGACTCTCGTAGGTACAGTTTAATTTCTCTGGTGGAAGAGGTCATTGTGAATCCATTGTCGGAAAACCATCCAAGAAATGGTTTCGCTACAGATATCCACGTGAATGGGGACATACTTGTAGCTCGGATCGCCAGCGAGTAAACTTTGCGACTTAACCTTCTAAACGCCGTGATGTTGACATCGCCGAAGACGTCAAAATCAACCTGAAGTAATTTTTATAAAGTTTATGAAACTGTCCCCCCAACGGCTTACCGCCCCTTCATGGCTGAGAGGTGTTCGTGGGTGTCGGGCTGCAATGTACCGAGAGGGATTCATGCCCACGGCAGGGTCTCCCAAGCCGAGGAGTCCTGCTTTTTCATCAAGAAGCCTAGCTAAGAGTAAACCAATACCAGGATCTACCACCGTCCTGATATCAAACTTGTCGCATGGTGGCAAATCTCGCTCTGATTCACAAGGACGGCGACTGCCTGTGGTGACGACGACCTACGGCACATTTTGGCTGGCTAACCTCGGATCTGGAGGGGAACCACAATGGCTAAACCAGCAAACTCTGAAAAATGGAGATTATGCTGGATTCCGCACTACCAGTGAGTACGGAGCATCCAGGTATCCAAGTAAATATGAAACTACAGTGAGCCGGACATAAGCGGCGCCATGCATACACAATGTTGTAACTAAGGGACTTGACAGTTAATCAAAATTTGCTTTAGTAGCAGCGCTATGCTGTGTTTAATTTGTGGATCAGGTTACTTCGATTTGAAAGCTATTAATTTTGTAGGAAGATGTCATTCATTGTAAACAAAAACAATCCCTCCAAGTGACACATTTTATAATAGTTCGTATACAGAGAGGAAAAGACGTACTTCATAGAGTTTTTCCGGAAGAAGGACACTCTCAGGAGCAATAAGCTCATCATGACCGCTTACAAGACGAGCTCGTATAACAAAATCCGCGTCACTTGTTCTCCATTCCCTAATGGACCAAAGATTAAACACGATAATGCGGACAGTGAAAAATATGCTCATACCACTAACAGAAAACCTGACTGTTTTTCTACTACTTATTAACTGCTAGTGATTAACACCTTCCAACGGTTTACCACCTCATCGTGGCTGGGGGGTATTCCTGGATGTCCGGCTGCGATGTACAGCTCAAACTAGTCACATGGTGGCAGATCTCCCTCTGATCCACGAAGCGGCGACTGAGGTGGTAACGACCTGGGGCAGACTTTGGCCAGGTTGACCTCGGTATTCTAAGGAACCACAATGGGTTAACTACCAATTCTCCGAAAAAAAGGGCTATGCTGGCATGTTCGCACAACCAGCGAGGACGGGCCATTCAAGTACCAAGTGAGTAAGTGATTAACCATATGTAGAAACACAAACCAGTCAAAAAACAAACCTTCATTTTACACTTAACAAAAAACAAATGATTCGTCACTCACTTGTGAAGTGCAATTTCCTCTGCTGAAAGGGAATCGATGCTGACGGTTTTATTTTCCTTGTACACAGGTTCGAAACCATTTGTCCATGCAAGCATATCGATTTGCAACTTAGCACCAGTGATTTTTTTCGGGAAATCATTCACTACAGAAATTCCAATGTCGTTGAATCCAGAAGCGTACTGTAAACTAACACAATTCTTTTTTTGAAATTCACTCGAGCAGTTTGGTAAATGTACTCCGAAGTACTGAGTAAATCCTTTCCAGAAATAAGAAACTGCAACTTAACAATCACATGTCCAGACAATTACAGGTTATGCTCCAGGAATGCACCTCGAGACAGTTCGCCAGGTTGAACGTCACAAAGTTATGGTTATAAGATTATGTGTAGACGGGAATAGGCCATGCCCTTCTCTTGAAATACATAACGATTCGGGAGATACAAATGCAGTTCCTATAACGGCGATCGACTTATAACTTCCGCATAGACGTTAGTCGTAGCTACGGATTTGTATATAGGAGTGCTCATGTGCGTGTAAATTGTGTCCTTCACGGTAGCTCGGCCAAAACCTTCGTTTAAGTGCGGATAGGTAGATCGGAGATGCTTCTAACAAATAAATCTAATGTCTGTCTGAAACAACGTACAAGATGGCTAGTGTCTTGGCAGAGCCGAAATTTACATAATTTCCTCTAGTGCTTCGAATAAGAAACAGGGGCGTAAGCCACGAAGATCACACTCGTGCCATCTGTATTAACCAAAAGTGGAATATCGCCAATAATACATTCGTATAAAATTTCTCATACCCATCCTTCATGAAGGCCTCTGAACTTTTGTGGCATGTATGTATGTAAGTATGTGGGTTCGGCCGTTGCTGGAGCATTACCACCTACGTATGAATGTCGCTAAATGTTGCTCGAGTTGATTCTCTTTGGATATCTAGGACATCTGTTAAAGAGTGTCGCTGCGTGGATTGGAGGGAGTGAACTGGACACCATGGTATCAATTTCCCTACGCCAGGTAGACAGGAAGCTTTGTTGACTCGGAACGGTGTAAAACTGGAATGATGACTGTAATGTACGGGCATCATTGCCACCGAGCAATCGGCCTCCTAAAGCCTCTACATTTGATGAAAAGAGTGTTTCGCAGATAGACATTATCGCTATATATCAACAATTTTCTACGTGACTGATTTGGACAGACAACGAGTACTCATATCGCGGGGTCGACCAGCTGCGGACAATTGACTTGAATGAACGCAGCTTTGAAGAAAGAGAAGATGCATAAACGTTAGCTGAACAAAACTTCAATACCAGCCTCGTGTCTGCTCCATTATATAAAAATTGTTGGTTATTCTTATCGAGATCTAATGAAACTTGGTTTTTAAGGCATTTTTTCTATAAGCCCGTATTAAAGCCTTTAGTATACTAAATATGATGCAAGAAAACTACTGAAAGTGACTGATTAGCGTTATTAATGACCAAATATGGATTAGCTCACGATCACAACTATCACTGGGGCCATGAACCGGCGTGCTTCATACTGTACCATCTTCCAGTTCAAATTTATGTCAATAGATGACCAGGTTGGTGCAGCCCACACATCATTTAATTGCCAATATAATGCACACATGGTGTTCCCCATTCCGGAAGGCATTAATCGATTACGGTACCTAGACATCTGTTATTAAAAATGCGATAACTACAACAAATTCACTAGGTACTTAAATGCTACAATACCTTCTATAATGTTCAGTCTGTACTTTGTATACGATCGCCTGATGTGCCTGTGAAAAATATGCGAATCGATCAATGAATGACGGAGAATTCAGATACTCGCATCGATGTAAGTGGACAAACGACTGAGGACATTCGAATGGTATCTGAAATGAAAAAAAAACTACATAATAGATCTGTCAGAAGTCCAAGGAGAGGAACATTTTGCACAACAACTAATACATCCAGGTATATCCATAATCAGTAAACATCACACCTATTATGAAACTACAAGGGCTACCTAACCTAAATTTTAAAAAATTCCTGGTTTAATCTGCTGGAAAATAATTCACGAATATAAGCCTAAAAACTATTCGCACCGGAAAATGACTGAACACCATAAGTAAATTGGTGAGTAGGCCACCTGGGTGGTGTTGTCGATGCATGAGCTGCTGTGAATTGTAGAACCACTCTGAAGCGTTGATATAGCTCAACATTGTGCTCCTATAACGCACAATTTGCCCAAAATACAAAAAATCCTACTTCAATCAAAAGTGACTGTACAGTTTCAATCTTATAGGTTTCTCTCAGTCATTTAAATTCCTACTTTTATCAGAGTCAATTCAACAACACTTGAGTTGAATAAGATAGGCTGTATCACGAGTTAGTTAGCGTCCTCATTTTCTTCAAAACACTATATCGAGAAGAAACTCCCACATATCTTCATATAAGCTAAGAATAAGGAGCTAGATATAATAGAGGTTACACACTACTTCCATTTACACGTGGACGACAAAACCGTAGAAAATATTTGAAAAGCGATTGGGAATAAAAAAAGAAGGTATCCATCCGGAAACTTCCCACAACGGCAGCATTTTAGTACTTAGCATAAATTTCCATTTTATTTTATATGGCTCGTCTTCACGTCTACTGCGTGGATCCCAGCACTTCTCACATTCAATTCGTTTCCTTGCATCCGTTGACCACGAAAATCTTCCGACTGTTACGTGTGGCTTCGGTTGATGCTTGAGGATTTTCATTTCATCTTGAATGTCGTAGAATGCAGGTCGAGAAATTCTCCCTGAAGTCCTGAGATAGTCAGGCTGGAGCGTTCCCAATTTGATTGCAGAAAGTGATTTTTTCCCAGACAACTCCGGTACCAAATTCTCGACCCCGGAGGGATGAGAGGTTTGGTTGGTCTGAGGCAGAATCGAACTAGGACCATACTCGCGATTACGGACATCACTACCATTGTGCTATCCGTCCCCAGTTAGCATAAATATTAATAAAAACGAGAAAGTGAAGCCGACATGGAAATACTTAGAAAGTACTTACGCAAATGGGAGGCTTTGTACACCAAACTCAGTAGCACATCGTGGTGTCAAATATGAGCTGTCTCTCCACAAATCGACGATTTCATTATAAAAATGTACATCCCCATAGCTCGGATCACCAGGATTTAAAGACACCCCTCCTTCTCTAAAGATTTCATTAATGTTCGTCAGCAGCTGCATGTCTGCTAAATTTGAAGTGGATTCAAAAATATTTATCAGAAAAGAAAGTTCGACTCTTCCGTCCGCACTCCGTTGCTGGGGCTAGACATCAAGAATGGTCGTGATGGATCGGCAGCTTCAACAATAGGTTTGACAACCCCATTGTAAAGATACACGTAGTCCTTCACTTGCTCATTTTCTGTAAGCGCGTAAATAATGAAAAAGGTCAACAAAAAGAAAAAATGGCACGTACTCAGTGCAAATGTTTCGGTAGTAGAGGTCTCAAAATAGATAATTTAAAAACAGGTTAAAATTTGTGAGTTCCTTGTTTACTGTAGAAATTTAGGAGAAGGATTTAAAAGACGTATGGTTTCATACCGGTATAGTTTCTAACTTTCCACCAGTGCGATCGTATAGCGATCTCGTTCTCGTTATTGCCAGCCCAAAGCAAAACAGATGAATGGCGCTTAATTCGCCATACCTGTGGGTGTAAGCTAAGATTAAACTTATGGTCACTTAGAAGAAAAAACCAAATAGTAAAATCTAGTCAAATAAGGAATTGATGAAAACATAATTCATAGTTTGATCAAGTTTCGCATTGGAGTTCCAGTTTTCCATAACAAATATGCAGGATTTACAGAATTACAGCGAAATCCTTAATCAGAATTTTAGTGTCTTAAAAATAAACAGCTGCAAGAGAACCATATACTGGGCTGTAGAAAAACACTTGTGGTAAGTGCTCACGCCACAATCACTGGTGGCTACAACGCCGTCTCCACTAAACGACAAGTCCTTTACACTTTATTATATAGCGCTTGCTATTTCAGTTTTTAAGGTAACGGGCAGTGGTAGTAATGCAGTTCAGTCAAACACGGTGTTGGTTCGATCACACTGGACTCAGCAAGCTTTCATTATACCAGGGTTGGGAAATTGATAGCAGATTCAACCGGACCAATCCCTGAAATTCACAAAGGAGCATTCTAGCACCGCTATCGCGGGTTTGGAGGAAAAATTGACTCGACCAGCATTCAACGACATTTATAAGGAAGACAACAATCGTCAAGCAACAGCTATACCCCTGTGAACGATGGATGAGGGGAAACGAGTGTGATGCATGAAGTGTTCGCATAGTAGATGTAAAGATGGGTCATGTAAACTTACTTGATACTTGAACGGCCCGTCCTCACTAGTTGTGCGAGCCCCAGCATAATCACCACTTTTCGGAGATTTGCTGGTTAATCCATTGTGGTTTCCTGGAATGCTGAGGACAGCCTGGCCAAAGTCTGCCCCAAGTCGTCACCACGGCATGCAGTGGCAGCCCTTGTGAATCGGATGGAGATTTGCCACCATGCGACTTTGATACCAGGACCAGGGGTCGATCCTGGTATTGTTTTACTTCACTCTTATCTAGGCTTCCTAATAGAAACGCCGGACTCCTCAGCTTGGGAGACCCTGCCGGGAGGACGAATCCCACCGCTGTATATCACAGCCCGACACCAAGGAACACTTCCCAGCCACGATGAGGGGTTAGATCTTTGGGAGGTCATGTTAAAAAATGAAATGAATAATTTCAATTCATGCGTTCTCAAGAGTGGTCGTACAGTGTTGATCACCAAATGAGCTCGGACGTATCACACACTTGCTAAGTATGCTGGTTCTTTAAATTAAGTTACCTGCTGATCCACTTCAGTTCTCACATTTTCGGTAAACTCCTTGTCAGTCGGATATAGAGCGCACGCAAACATCAAATCCTGAATTTTTTGGAGGGTATGGTGCGTTATTTTATTCTCACTAATCTAACTATCTGCAAAAGAAAACTACTAGAATAAGGCTAGAAAGACGCTTTAACGTAGAGCTCACATAATGCAGTTAGTTAGATGAGTGAGAATAAAATAACGCACTAAACACATCTTCCCACACACAATTAAGTGTAGACGCACTTGCCATAACAAAATCCCCTTGCTATCAGCGTAGTCATAAAACTCGTCCGATTCGTAGATGCCGCCACCCCATACTCGTAATGTGTTCATGCCTAGAATTGCATGCATAGAAAGTGAATTAAGATGTTCGTTAGAATATCAGACTAAATGTCGTGATGAAAGCATAACATAAGTGAAAGTACACTGACGAGAAAAAGCATCAACATTAAACTAGTTCCACAAAACAGTTTTGTACAGTGTCTAAGCCGTCGTGAGTACGTGCTATGATGGAAATTAACATTATCTGTGCAAAAAGGTTGCAAATTCTTATGAAAGTCTAACCCGTTTCTGCAGCAGAGTCAAGTAGGAACACTATACGTCTTGTGTTGTTGACCGAAAGAAACATCGAAACAGGAATCCAGTTCGATCCTAAATACGTTTCCAGACGTTAAATCGTTTTAGGAAGAGTTTGCGAGTGAAAACTGCCTTTCAGAAATACTGGACGATCGTTGATCTTCACATAAAAGTGCCGTCCTTTCGATAATTGTTTGGGATCGACATAGTTCTGGACAAGTTCAACATGACGGAATCCAATGCGACGAATAATTTCTGAATCAGAAATAGGAGAAAACAAACGCGCGTGCAAAATATGATAGAGTTATTGGATTTACCCACCATTTCCTCCACCTCTCACTATGATGTTGTACAGCTTCTGGCCACCTTCTCCATTTGGCCACCACAACTCCACTTTCTCTTTGGCTATTTCGACTTCAAATTTCAAAATTATTGGCTTGCTGTTTCCGGAAATATGATACGTTTGGTACTGATCTACGTCGAGTTCGGCAATGACCACTCTTAAGGCGACTGTTAGCGATTTATCCTCAGTAAAGACTCGTACCTCTCCATGAATCAACCATGAGGCTGAAAGTTTCTTAGATGCACCGCGAATAGCCGCTTTACCAAGACAGATTATTATTGCTGTAAAAATGCAAAAATATAGTGTTGAAAACCATGTGTTCTCTCAGTTATCCATGAAAAATCGTCCAAGAAAAAGTTGTTGAATGCAACAATATCAATGGGTTTCCAAATCCCCATTGTTGGAAGCGCTGGACCCCAATCCCAGCTGAAGCTGTACTGAGCTTTCCTGAAACATAAGCACAGACTTGAAAAATTTTTACAAATTAATGAGAGAGTGCAGGATATGATGGTCAGCCTAACTTAGACGTAATTTTCTTCACCTCATTGATGAACAACAAAAATAGTAAGTAGCAGAACAAAACCTTATAAAATTTGGATGACATTCACCATGATATGAAGGAGGAGGGCAAACGGGTGGAACTAAATGCCCCCGATATTTCTGAAAGAAGAAGAGTGTTTATCAAGCTTATAAAAAAGACCATGCAAAATATTGACACTTGAACAAAAGCAAAGGTGTGAAAAGAGTGACTAGACGTTTTTATTTAATAAAAGACTAAAAGAGAAAGCCATTCAACCATTGATCACAGCAGAAAGATCTATGGCACACTAAAAAGCTCTAACGCTCTCAGCGTTGGTCAATGCCTGAGGGATTCACCATGCATTCGACTTCATTAAGCACCGTTTAGAGGTGATTGAATGCATATTTGGTCTTTACAATGACTCGCGGTGGTCTAGCGATGTGTACAACCAGTGTTGTTATGCTCTCAGACAAATCTGCTACCAATTTGCCGACCCCATGGGGATGGATGGCTTGGTGCGCCGTGGCTGCGGAGATCCATTCCACGTGGCTGTTGCGAGGCAGCTCCGACCACTTCGCCACACGTGCCCTATTGGCACACCATGTAGAAATAAATACGAAAAAAACATAGAACTCACATTATATTGTTCCGATTTTTCTTTGGCGTATAATACTGGTGAGGTGAATCTTACTTCAATCATATTTTCATCACTTAGAATCCCATTCAGTTTCACGAAATACGCCACAAATTGATTGTTTGTCTTTAATAAATATTTGCTGTTGAGGACCACTGAGGACATGGTATCAATCCCTCGTATCCTCAGTAGTAAGATGTGAAACTGGAAGAGAAAAAAATGTATATTCTACCACTCCTTCAAATAGAACTCCGATTTTACTCTTGAAAATGCCCAACTTTTTCCGTTTTTCCGTTAAAGAGAATAAAGGATAAAGGGATTTCGTTGACTATTCATCTAAGGATGCGTCTTACAGTCGGCTATACTAACAAGCATCGTGGAGGTGGCTAAATGCACATTTGCCACAAATGATAAATTACGAAAGCCTAGCAGTGTATCAAGTCAATGCTTTCACGCTCCCTTTTAAATCTGGTATCTATTATTCGACCTAGGAAATAGGAAAGATGGTCGAGGTCCAGGCTTACAAGCCCCCGATCTTCATCGTTAATCTCTATAAATGGAGAAATAAAGATTAATGGAAGACAGTAGAACACAAACTGAACCTTCAACGTGTCTTTGCCAATGTCGAATGTCCTTGTGTACGTCCAGTTATCATGGGAAACCCATTGCTGTCCCAAGTGGTTGTCAGCAAATAAAGGATCATCAATAATGGATGCACTACGTAGATCGGAGAACACATCACCAGGTACGTGACCTTAAGGTATTCCAATAAAACTGTGTTAACGATATATTGTCTGAAGTATACGGATTACGACACACATAGTTTGGTTCTAATTGGTGCAATGAACGTGGAGCAGCGAGAAATTTATTGGGTTCTAGTCACTTTGAATTACTGAGCCAGATACGATTTAAGGAAAAGTAAATGGAGCGTGTAATGAAAATGAAACAACTGTGATAACAAAATCTTTAACTTTGTGCTAGCTAATGATGAAACCAACTTTTACAGGATTGATTGTCCGGAAAAATCACTAATTATCACCAGACAATTACGACTATCAGCAAACAAGAAACCTGTATATAACAGCATCTCCGGCTAAGTATGCCTCATTCGAGAGATGGTCCAGCAAAGGTCCGGCCCGATGCGCGACGAAGACACCATAGCGAGAAGACGAACGACTGTGTACATCGACTAAGATCATCGGCTTTGAGGAAGACGAAGACGTCGAAACGTTAACAGGATAAAATATTGGTAACAAGCTCCTGTTAGCTTATCAATGAAATAAGGAACATCTGTGTCACACTATTGTAAAATGGTTCGTCTTATCATGATTGTAAAACTGACCATTCGAGAGAAAAGAAACTTGTTGTGACGCACTTCAAATAATTCTAGGCGCCATAGAATCACATGTAATTCCTTTAAATCAAAAATTGTCTGGTGAGGACAGGACAAGGTGTGAACTTTGTATAGATAGGGCAATTAATACTCAACTCAGTTTTTTTTCTGAAAACGAAACTGGACCAATCCTGCATATGTACGAGCATATTTAAGAGCGAAAGGAACTACCCACGATTATTTCCAAATTATATAGGTCATTACCCTTTTTAGCGATCATAGAAAATAGAAAAAGATGAACAAGTTTCAAAAAATCGCGTTAAATTACCATAACAATGCTGAGATAATCGCAAAACTCGGACCCCATGCCAGATCCTAACCACGATTACCTTTCTCGCGAGCTCCCGTGTTCAAGGATAATCGCCGGAGAGTTCGGACCTGGCCTGAGGTCTGAGTTTTGCAGATATCTCAGCATCGACGTGGTTGTTATATTTCACATCGCACCTTGCCATGAAAGAAGAATAGGAAGCAAATAAAAGGTGATCACATTATGATTTATACTACAGCTTCAGGTTAACTGGGTTCAATGCCGAATTGCGCTCTCCAGATCAACCTCGTTGACAGGTGATCGTTGATAGCACCTATAGGTCAATAACAAGGCTGAGAAAAAAGCGAAACGACAGATCCGCATGGTGTGGTGAACGCGTTAGTCCTTGGAAGGGGTAATAGCGTGTTCGATTCCCGCCGCAGACACCTGTCATCCGGAGCATTGTAAACTTCTCAGTATCACTGTGGATATATTTCACATCACACCCTGCCATGAAACAACAACAGGCAGTAAATAAAAAGTGGTTACTTTGTAAGTTACAGTACCGTCGTCCGAGTGTTTTCAACACGAAGCGTTTGATGTTTGATTACAAATCCAAACGACTTGACCCACTTACGCACTTCTTATTAGATATTTCACTCGTAATCAGAAAAATGATCTTTTGTCTATTAGGTGAAGGAAATAATCTCTCCTATCAATGACGTCGTACAAGAACTATGCAAATCTGATGTGCCAAGTCCACAGTTCTAATGAATGAAGGAAAAGAAATACAAGTTCTAACTAACCTCGACCGTGAACCGTTTTATTAGCAGAATGGTAGATCCACTTTCCACCAAGATTGATTACTTGGAAAGATAAAGCGTCAGTAAATGAGCGAAACGCTAGCAGAGCCAGTACTGCTATTAGCGCACACATTTCACTGATTACAAGAACGGTGTCGGCCTTGGTAATATAGAATGAATGATAAGAGTGCAACGTGCCCTTGACAGCCTATCTGTACTAACGAAAAGAGAGAATTCGTCTAAATCAAATATTACCGTACAAGATCACAAAATCCTAATGTCATTTGTTGCATTGCCAACGCTCAGCTTTTGTTCAATTTGTTCGACACTCCTTGAGAGGTCAGTGGAGAAGCATTGGCATGTTAATCGATGTTCTTCTTCATAATTTCACCATCCTATCTATGGCTTAGTAACTATTAACACATTCCTGACGGGTGGCGTCTTCGGCCCGGAGGAACGCTTGGAACGACACCCAATTTCTAGCCGTCGTGGAGCTTTTAAATTTTGAGAGTAAAAGATAATTTCTCGACAAGTAGAGGAATTGAGGAGTTGTGAGCATGACAGGCGTTTAGATGAGACTTTTCTCCAACATTCCTCAGGTATGAGTGGTATATGTGATAGTCTTTACTAAATGTTGTTATGGTCTACCATACAAACACAGTTCTGTCACCATTTGAAGGTGTTTTACCAAGCGGTGTATTTTACCTCCTTAAACATTTAAGGACGGCATACACTGATTTCCACTCACATGTGGGTTGCTGGAGTAGGCCACGCGAGTGGATATCCGCTGATGACTGCATTGAGAAAAAAAAGGATAGGCAGTACGGACATGCGTGAGTTACACCGATTTATGCGTCGATCCGTGTTTACTAACGGTGTCATGCTCCGATTACTTCGCAGAACTAATATTGAGCTGCATAGTGTTAAACGTACTAACCAGGGAAAAAATATTTAGGTGAAAGTGAAGTTAGACAATACCATCAACTTCTTCTAAGAAATCTCATAACGTTAAACACCTATCTCTGTGGAATTCATCGAGATATCTCGACACTACTTGTACGTTTCATATCAGAATAAGAAAACAAGAAACAATACTTTCTTTAGACTTCGCAAAATACTGAAGAATGAGGAGCGAACGTCTTAATTGACTATAACTTTGTATGACACTCAGTGTTAACAGCATAGATGGAATTCACATTAATTACTCATGAGAAGTTCTTCATGGCACAGTCTTTACAATTAACAATGTGAAGAAGTATTGCTGATGGCACTGATCGATAGAACTAGCTGAAAGATAAGCGAAATGAAGGACCCGAATGGTGTGGTGGTGAACGCATTAGCGTCCTGAAAGGGTAATAGCGCTTTCGTTCCCCATCGCAGACACCTGCGGTCCGGAGTTCTGCAAATATCTCAGCATCACTGTGCTTATGAAGAAGTATTTTGATGACTGAGAACGAAGAAATCCTAGGATGATCACATCGGACGATCCATTTTGGCGAAATATATTGACCAATATCTGAATTTGCACGTAAAAAATAAAATCTTATCAAGTGTAGGTCTAGAAATAAATCTGAAAACCTACACAATGTTGAAAAAGAGAAACGCCAACGGGAACATTATCATTGAGCAACGATCTACCTGAAACCAGTAAGAGTTTAGTGCGATTTCGACATTTTCCTGTGAGATCAAAGACTACTGTTTTTAACCACAACGATGCCGAGATATTTGCAAAACTCCGGACCGCAGGTGTCTGCGGTGGGGAACCAGCGCGCTTCTACCCTTTCCGGGAGCAAACGCGTTCACCACCACACCATGCGAGTCCTTCGTTTCGCTTTTCTCCCAGCTAGTTCTTACTTCTACTTTTAACTTTGATTAAAGTGAAAATTGTCTTTATCACGTTCAGGGAATGATAAAAACGTTTTGCACGGAGCACTCAAGAAAAAAAAAGTATTTTGGTATTCTCCGGCTGAAACTCTATTACGAAATTGATCAGCATTTAAGTTCCTTTTGTACTATATTTCCGCTATTTCTGTAGCGAATAAATGAACTATAAGCAGTGAAACAAAAGGTATGGAAAATCTGTGTTAAAAAAATAGCCGATTTTTAGCCACTAACCTGTATTGAAGTGAGGTTCCACTCTCGATCGGGAGGACAAAATGAGTACACAAAACGTTGCACGAGTCTGCGCCAACGAGCGTGCCTTTTTTCGTCATCGAATGAATAACTATTTTCATCGGATGTCTTGAAAAGAAATTTAGACTGTAAATAAAAGACAGAACCTAACTAACGCAGCGGCAGTGATGTTGTTCATTATGTGGAAAGCTGTGATTCGACTCCGTACAGGCCTACCAAGCCTCCTCCAATCACTACGCAGTAGCGAAATTAGTGCAAGAATTCTGGGATTAATTCGCTTCCTCTACTCTGTAAAAGCCTGGCGACTGCCTGTGAAGCAGATCTACAAACGCGTTAACACGACTAACTCTGAAGTCCAGGGAGAATCAACTAGACCGGTATTGAACAACATTCATAAAGAATACCAAAGATACAGTAAAATTCGACAACGAACCCACTACGTTAAAACATTTCCTATGTGTCCTGAGTAGTAGTGAGAGGTTGTTGAACTAAGTTCATTCTTAACTTGAGCCAGCATCATTCATGAAGAGTTCGACACTTTCAGTAAAAATCCATCCAAAAGTGCATCATAGTCAGGAACCAAGGCCGTATCACCTGTATCAGCTGTAATCCCGTTGATTGTCGAGTGACTGGAGCGGGCGCCAGTAAATCTTCCATTTTTCCCTGTCGCGTGCAAGAGTAACCCAGTGGGTTCTGCTCGCTCTAGGGACTCGTAGGCTCGAGGAATCAAGTTACTAACGGCTCTTGTACATCGGTTGTCGTTCATACGCATTGCATGTCTGGTTCACCCTATCTTCGACCGCTGGGGCATAGAACAGCACTCTTGATTTTTGATCGTTGACGCGGCTAGGAGCTTCGAACATCGGAGACCAAGGCCGTATCAGAAGAAATATCGTTGAAAAATTGCACCTGGCTTTTTGATTGGAACTATCGGCTAAAGCACATGGTGACTAATTGATAGCTCCATGCATGGGGTGGGCACTTTAGGAGTATGTTAGATGACAGCATATCCAATCAGCAATTTTTGCTGCTATACTGATGCAAACTGTCCAGAAACGATTTTTTTGACAGATGAGCTGCTATGAAATTAACCAACTAGGTGTGAACGTGTACCAGGTTTGCGGTCCCGTCAGTAGACCTGTGGATTCATATCTGCGAGTAATGATGGCACTAGTAGTGAACTACGGTGGATCGATCGATGGAGGATCATTAGTACACAGTAGCTTATACACCTTAAAAAAATCGTACGATAGAACATGCTGGCACGACAGTCTTGAGACAACAGCAGTAACTGACAGTCATAAACTTCTTGTGCTTACGTTTTCTGATCAACTTATGGTATTGGTTTCTCAGTTGCTTTGCAGGGTTGGAGACAAAGGAAAACATCATAAAGATATCTATTTGCTATTATGAGATGCCCGACGCTGCAGTGGTCGAAGGCGGCCTGTGATTCACACATGGGATAGATCCCTGCACCCAAGGTCCACCAAGCCTTCCATCCCTCCTGGGTTGGCAAATTGGTACTAGATTTGCTTGGGAGGATAACAGCACTGGCTCGACACATCGGTAGCGCACCGCGAGTCATTATGAAAATTAGACATGCACTGAATCACCTCTAACGATGCTTAATGAAGTCGAATGCATGATGCATCCCTCAGGGATTGATTAACGTCGAGAGCTTTATCCTTTTCTTTTTTCTTATCTCTAAATCTAAACGACGAGAAATGACGACAAAGTTTCCACCTTCACCAGCTATCAAAGCTCTTTTCGCCTTCGAGTTCTCATTGTACATTTCTCCCTCTATTCAAATGTCCTTGACATACACTGTTCTTCCTGCACTCACGCGGTAAAAACAGCTTTTTTCCAGTGTGGCTGAATCGACTGCTTGCATAGAGTAGAGAAGCAAACTTATTGGAGACATTTAACAATGCGGAGGTAGTTATGTTGTCATCAGTTTGGGTTCTGGGAATGTAGGTCAACCTTGGTGGGATTCTATACTTCCCACATGCAGTAAAAATTTCCGTTTTTTTCTTCGGAAAAGGAACTTGCTGGAAATGGGTATGGGTTCAGGAAACACGTTTTTATTTTTTTCAATCTCAGGATAAAACGTCCAATCTTCCATTCTGCCTCAGTAAACCTTTATACTCTAACGTTTCCAACATGAAATTGGTAGTATCCCAATAACACAGCCAGTACAGACCACATAGATCATCACTAGAATCAGAGCTACTTCTTCGATACACTACTATTCAGCTTTTCAAATGGGGTTTAGGTCGAATAGGTGGAAATCCGCTCAACTCGATAGGAACATCAAAATGCCAAGTCATAGAGTGAAAAACTGTACCAACTGACCACATCTACTGCGTTATGTTGATGAACCACCGAGTTCACAGTCTGGGAGATTACGGCGTTGTTACCCATCAATTCGCTTGATGGAGAACTCTCTACCGCGCATGGAAATCGCTTCCGAACGCCATCTCCATTTGAGCGATTCTCTCTTCGACGAGTTCTTCTGAAAAAAGAAAGAAACATTGTCTTAATATATAATATAATATAATATATATATAATATAATATAAGGTATAATGAAGGATAGAGGTCTCGGTGTTGATCAATCCCTCAGGGATGCGCCATGCATTCGATTTCATTCGTTTGGAGGTGACTGAACGCATATCTGGTCTATACAATGACTAGCGGTGGCCTACCGATCTATCGAGCCATCGCTGCTACCCTCCTAAAGAAGTCTGGTACCAATTTGTTGATCGCGGAGGGATGGAAAGCTTGGTGGCCATGGGCGCGGGGATTGATCCCATGTGTATTGTACGACCCCTCTAACCACTGCGCTAGACGTGCCAATGTATATATGAAGCTAAGGGATAAATATATGATGGAATAATATATGTATATATATATATATGTATATATATGTATATATGTATAATGTACTGGAACAAGTGCACAAAAAGCAGCGAACAGTTATTCAAGATGCTGTTCTTTTAAGTTTTATACGTACTAGATTTCGTAAGTGGAAAAGAAAATAAAAAGTGACCAACCGTATTTGATTGAGCCAATGACCAAGCACTTTCGAGCCAATCTGCCGCTCACGTTCCCACCTGAATACTTCAAAACTATGGCCCAGCAACTTAATATCTCTAATTTTTTGGAGTTAGAGAATCCCTTACTTTTATAAGTGCTGAAGGCAATGTTTTATAAAAGTGGTCACCTGTTTAATTGACAAACAATAGCTAGTTCAACGAGTGTACAGAAAATGAAAATAACAGAGAATAACATCCACACATCAAGGCACTGAAATCACATAGTTTAAGCGCTTAGCGAAATTGGCGAAGTCATCATATAGCTTTTTTGTTTCCAAGACAACAGACAGCTATAAGAGAGGAAATTTCGCACATGACCAATGTTTTGACTACCAATCAACTGCATAATGAACTTCGGGCAACCATCTGATAGATAATGCCTAATCGCCATTCTAACTAAATATGTTAAACAATGTTTACTTTAGTTTTAACCCTTTTATTTACTGCCTTTTTGTTTTTTTAATGGCAGGGTACGTTGCGAAATATAACTCGAATATAATGCTGAGATATTTGCAAAACTCCGGACCGCAGGCGCATGCGGTGGGGAACGAACGCGCGCTATTGTCCTTACCGGGGAGTAGCGCACTTCACCACCAAACCATCCGAGTCCTTTGTTTTGCCTGTCTCTCAGCTAGTTCTATCGATCTGTGTTTAGTTTATATTTGCTGCCTACTAGAACTTTCCACGGCCAGGTATTACGCGAAACACAACCGCCATGATGTTGAAATATTCGCAAAACTCCGACCGTAGGTGTCTGCGGTGGGGAAGGAACGCGTTATTACCTTTCCCAGGGAGTAACAGGTTCACCACTACGTCATGCGCGTTTCGTTTCGTCTGCCTCTCATCTAGTTTTGACATCATGCCTTAACGGCACTGATCGATAGAAAACATTGTCATTAATATCAATATCGAAACATTTTGAAATTATCCCTTTATGGCAATGATCGATAGAAAACTAGCTAAGAGGCAGGCGAAATGAAGGATCCGTATGTGTGGTAGTGAACGCGTTAGCCCCTGGGAAGCGTAATAGCGCGTTCGTGTTCCCACCACAAGGACCTGCGATTCAGAGTTTGTAGATATCTCAGCATCGTTGTGGTTGTACTAAAACATTTATAAAATTTCACAATTGGCTCTCGATATGGATAATTCACCTCTGGTCTAAATTGATCTGGATAATTCATTTCGAATCATTACTGCTCAAGAATCACGACTTTTAAGTCAAAACATACTTTTATATAGCTAACACGAGGCAGGTGGCGCAAAACATTGCCGAACTGGAAAGTAAGAGCGAGTAGAGATGAGACACCAAGCGTTATTCTAAATGTAGTAAAAAAACATGTCTACGAAAATCTCGAAGAATAGAACCATAGACAAGTAATGTTGACACGGAAATCGATGTTAATGATTCTGTTGAGAACATAGCACAACAGATTCCTGATCAACTATCACCACACAGAATACTAGGGATAATGCAGTCGGTTTGGACATATTACTCAGAGACATCATAAAGCTCTAAAATGGATAAAGCTTTCGGCGTTGATCAATCCTTCAGAGATACGTCATGCATTCGACTTCATTAGGCATCGTTGGGGGTGATTCAGTGCATATCTGGTTTTTATGACTCGCAGTGGGCTACTGATGTGTCGAGCCAGTGCTGCTATCCTCCCAAACAAATCTGGTACCAATTCGCCGACGCCGAAGGGATGGAGAGCCTGGTGGGCCACGGGAGCGGGGATCGATTCCACGTGTGTGTCGCAATGGCGCGTCCAACCACTGCGCCACACGCGCCACCAGAGACATCATAGTGGTGATTCAATGCATATTCGGTCTGTGCAATTACATACACGTGTCTACCAATGTAACAAGTCAGTTTTTATCATCGCAAACAAGTCTGTTGCCAATTCGCCGACCTGAGAATGATCAGGGTTTGGTTAACCGTAGCGCCGAATAAAAGCTCCCGAACCTCCTATTTAGGCCTTTTACGACCACGCACAATAATTTCAGTGTGTACGCTGCGTTTCGGGTTGCACAATTTGATTGCAATGCGCATTCCGATTGCGCTACAATTACACGCAGTCTTTTAAGTGACTGCGCTTGTAAAAGGATCGAGAGAATTCATTTCCTAATATTCTACCTTCCCCTCCCATTTTTTAAAGATAAAGATCACTGTCAGCATAATTAAAAACAAAGAATAAATCTGAATAGGTGGTTCATACCTGGCCGAAACGGATCTAACGTCAAAGAAGAAACCGACCCATGAACTAATAACAGTCAACGAGGTGGGAAAATATGACTGGAAGAGATAGAAGCCATATCGCCTTGCGAAGGTGAATTTTACCTATAACTTGATCTAGAGATACTTAAAAGCTTATAATTCACATATGATGTAAAGAGTCTGTAAGTTTTTTAACTTAAGGTGTAAAATATAACTCGTATGTAATGCTGAGATATGTGCAAAACTCCGGACCGCAGGTGTATGCGGTGGGAAACGAACGCGCTATTGTCCTTACCGGGGAGCACTTCACCACCACACCATCCGGGTCTTTCGTTTAGCCTGTCTCTCAGCTAGTTCTATCGATCTTTCGAGGAAAAGGCAGTAAATAAAAGGGTTAAGATTGTGATTATAACTAAGCCTCAGCTTAATTGGGTTCAATGCCGATTTGGGCTCCTCAGATCAATCCCGTTGACGGGTGATTGCTGATGGCAAAAAGATCGATAGAACTAGCTGAGAGACCGGCAAAACGAAGGACCCGGATGGTGTGGTTATGAAGTGCGCTGCTCCACGGTAAGGACAACAGCGTGTGTTCGTTCCCCACCGCATACATCTGCGGTCCGGAGTTTTGCAAATATCTCAGCATTACATACGAGTTATATTTCGCAACATACCCTGCCATTAAAAAGAAAAAGGCAGTAAATAAAAAGGTTAAGATTAAATTAAGATTAACTTTTTCCTGTCCAAATTCAATCTTATGCTTTGTGCATATCCGAGTTAAATATTGCTAATCCAACGTTTCTTGCCGATATACATGAAAATCAGAGTTTTCTAGAAAGATGAAAACTATCAAAGACCTTTGCTCGATCCCATATACCATTCGGGTACTCCAGACGCTGATGATCGGTTGACCATCCGATTAGGTCGAAATCTGGTAACTCGACCTGAAGAGCGGAACGATTACATGTTGGACTTAGTAGTGACATTTATGGCAAAATGGAATAAAAAATATTACGAAAGTTTACATGAGAAAACAACCATGGATACCTTCTCCATCATTGTGATTGGCACATCATGCCACTGAAGTCTGACTTCATCCGTATTGAACGAATAGCTCTCCAGTACAATTTCACATGATAAAGAATCAAATGGGAACATCTAAATACGAACACAGCTAAGTTACTGCTAAAAAAACCAGTCAAAATTAAGTGTAAGATGTCGACATGTACAGCTTCGATATGCCACATCCGTTGTGATAGAAGGAGTCACGGAAATCTTGGACAAACAATAAGCCCCTCCCCACTCAGTGCACAAGAATTAATGAGCTAGGCAAACCCCCGCAACTTCGTGATTCCATAACGACGTTTTAATCGACATGCAGAAAGGGCTTCTGCAAGTTGCTCCAACCTTGCTATAATTGTCTAATGCCAATTTCGATAATGAAAAGTGGAAATTGGCATAGAACGGCTGAGTGAAATGATGCTGGTTTTCATTATGACATCATTCCTACATATTCAAGGATTAGACATACAAAACAAATGCGGAGAATTGGCGAAAGTACTTTTTCTCAGCAGTTGTTAAGTGTGCGAGACTAATGACCTGACGGTCAGCTTTCCCATAGACCTTGTAAAAAAGATGCTCTTCATGCCTCCTACGATAGAACGAACTGGAAGTACAGATGACTGACTGTTTTTTTAAATACGGCCAGTCTTCATATCTACTGTGCGGATCCCAGCACCATGTATTCTTTTCATTTCCCGCACCCATCATCTACGATGATGTTCAAACTTTTTTGAGCATGTGTTCGATTGATGCTTGAGGATTTTTCCATCTAGTCACAAATTTCGCTAAATGCTGCTCAAAATGAACTTCCATGGAATTTTGAAATAGCTGTGATAGAGTGTTCCTGAGTGGAGTTGAGGTAGTGAGTTGGGCGCAAACAAGTCTAACGCCCATTTCGCGACCCTGGAACAATGACAGGTTTGGTGAGATAGGTAATTCAGAGAAAAAAAACAGGGCTTGATATTGCCGTTCCTAAAAGGCGAATAGGCTCAGTTACCTGAAAGAAACGCTAAATTTTCGAATTTCATTTTTTACAAATGATTGAGAAGAAAAAGAATCTCGACCAACCTTAAGGTTAACGGAACATGGTGTCTTCACATTTAACCTGAAATTGAATCATTTTGTTCATTGACCAAATGAGTAATAATCGTTCGAACTCCGGAAGAGAGCTACAGTGAAAAGCCACTGTTTTTCCAATTTTTTTTTATTACCTCAGAAGTTACAACATAATGGGGAACCGTGAAAGAAATATCTATATTTTCCATAACAAACTATATAGAATACGATAATGATTTCATTCTGCCCCTACAGTTCCTTTGCTCTTAGGGCCGTGTGTAGCGCAATGGTCGCAGGCGCCCTACAACACACAGAGCTGATCTGCCCCCGCGCCCGTGGCTCAACAAGCCTTCCATCCTTCCGGGGTCGTCAAATTGGTATCACACTTGTCTGAGAAGCTTCATACAACGGTAGGCCACTGCGAGTCATTGTAAAGGCCAGATATGTATTCAATCACCTCCAACGATGGTTAATGAAGTCAAATCCATGGCGCATCCTTCAGAGATTTATCAACGGCGAGAGCTTTGTCATTTTTTATCCTGCTCCTATAGTTCTTTTAAACGACATAAAATTTCAGATCAACGGCTAGCAAGCAAGAAAATCGATAGTTCCATTTATTTTACAAACATATTCGCAATTGGTCCTCCTAACGGTTTACCGTCTCATCGTGGCTGGGAGGTGTTCCTGATTGTCGGACTGCGATGTACAGCGGGGGATTCGTCTTCTGGCAAGGTTTCCCAAGCTGAGAAGGAGTTCGACATTTTCACCAGGAAGCCTAGCTAAGAGTAAACCAATAACAGGATGCATCACCGTCCTGGTATCAAAGTCGCATGGCGGCAAATCTTCTGATCCACTATGGCTGCGACTGCCTGTAGTGGTGAAGACCTGGGGCAGACTTTGGCCAGGCTGACCTCAAGATTCCAGGGAACCACAATGGCATAACCAGCAAATCTCCGAAAAATGGAAATTATGCTGTGGCCTGCACAACTAGTAACGACGGGTCATTCGAGTACCAAGTACCATGTGTCAAGTAAGTAAGTATACTAGTAACCACGGATCTCCCTAATAGAAGGGATCTCATGTCGGTCACTGGTGAGGCAACGTGGCGCCTCACCCAGGAACTGGATAGGATTACTCAGGGGCTAAAAGCAGCTACATCCTTTTCTGAGATGAAAGTAGATCCAGGAGAAGGACTCCCTGTTTCTGCGGCTCCGATTTGGTTCATGTCTTGTGTATTTACGAGGACATATTCATACAGGCTTGCTTGGGTGTCGACCAAAGGCCTACAATCAAGTAACAGGGAAGTAAGTATGTAGGAAGCGATTAGAAATCGCCTCCAAAAAATAAGCTCGCCATATACGTTGGGAGAGAGTGAAAGGCTACCCGTGAATATACCCATTCTCGATGTTCAAGGCTAAGCAGACTAGACGTAGGTATCAAAAGCTAAACAGTAATATAAACTGGCCTGATTCTCCTGACCGCGAAAGAGCACCCGATTTTCAAACGTTGGGTAGGATGAGTAAGGAAAGGCTGCTAAGATCTTAAAACCATTTTAGGCTACCTAAATTGCAAAAAACTAAGATGGGCCAAGCGCTATGGAAGTTGAAAGTTCTAAAGCCAACAATAAACATTCCCAGAAATGCTCGGGCTGGTACGCCAATGTGGAGTCACACGAGCAACAAACAACGACTGTTGAACAGAAGGAAACGAGCGGCTTGGAGAGCTTTGAAGAGCATCGAGGATGTAGTTAAGAGAACAAAAAACAACCGACTTCGTGTCCACATTCTCGACTATACGATTCTCCCCGGCTTAACGTATGCCTCAGTAATCTGTTCGCTACGTAAGCAAGATGAGAGATCACTCAGCAAGTCTCAAGACCGACCACCTTTTAAACTCCGCATTATTCAATAATTCACTGTTCATCTTCATGACCAACACGGCGTTGTTATTGTAAAATTTATTAATATACATAAACATTAATACATTAATGCAATGTGGACTAATAAATGCAGTGCTAACAACCTTACGTTTGCTCATAAAGAAAAACGCTGAATTATAGACCACTCAGCGTTATAGAAAGCGCATTCGAAAGGACGATGCCAGGAGCGTGCCGTGTTGCACAACTAGGAAAAGGGATCCGAAGCTCCGATCTTCGTTAACGTTCAAAAATCAAGGACGCCGTTCTCTACCCCAAACTGTAGAAGATAAAGGGGAGGGGAGATCGTACATCGGGATGTAAAACGCACAGCAGGAAGCTATACGGAAACCCTAAAAGTAACATATGATGTCCCTAGTGCGAACGAGTGTTTCATCTTGGTAGAATACGGAAATTTGCGGCTTTTAGGGAAAGATCCATAGAATCTAGTTGGTACTGCCCTAACTACAAAGGATGGTGCGGGCTTAAACATGTCAATATATGCATGCAGTGCATTGCAATATATACAATTATATGTAGTGCTGTTTTAATGGTGACAGTATAAATATTAATGAGCCTTACTTACCTGAAATTACTCCATACAAGTCCATTCTCGTAGAGAATCACAAATGTGTTCTCTGAAGGTGAGCTATGAATCGAACTCGACTTGCTGTTAATGATGCACGTGTCGGGAGTCCATATTCGTTTACGAAAATCGGACTTAAATTTATAGTAATGAAATATGGCAATTGTGGAATAATGGCAAAAAATAATACTAATTACGATTTATAAATGACTGTGAGGTGCACTAGATGTGATCTAATTATGATTAATGTGCAAAAGAGATAAAATGCATAAATTTTTCCCTTATAACAATAGCGCATGCGGCGCAGTGGTCGGAGGCGCCCCACAACACACACGTGCAATCAATCGACGCTCCCGTGGCCCATAAAGCCTTACAACCCACCAGGAACGGCAAATTGGTACCAGGACTGTCTGGAAGGATATCAACACTGGATCAATACATCGGTAGGCCGCCGCGAGTCAATGTAAAGGCCAGGTATGCATTTAACCACCTCCAAATAATGCTTAATGAAGTAGAATGCATGGCGCATCCCTCAGGTGGTGATCATCGTCGAGAATTTTATCTTTTAACCTTATAATATTGCAACGAAAAAGGATATTCGAGGTGTTTTTGCTTGATCGATGCTGCTCTCATTCCCATTGAAGCCCGCCACCACTCACTTTTAATGTTATATTCGTAGCGCAGACATTAAGATGCTTGAAGGCGAGTCGTGGATCTTGCCATATCTCACTATACATCACGTCCAAGGAAAAATCGCCAGTGATTTCCGATATGCCAGACACACCCTGTAAAAAAAACTCGACCACAATAATATAAATGAAAAATGAATAAACTATTTCGTTCACAAGTCGATTCACCGTTCGTCTCCTTTATTTCTTTACTGACTATTCTGGTCAGCATTACTGTTTGAGGACATGGTTAGTATGCGTTAACATTTAGAGACTAACATGAGTGGAGGTCCTCTCACAGCGAACGCACCAAAAAATTAGCCATCAGGTAGATTCGTTAGCTACAAGCTTTTGGGCGTAGGTATGAAGTAAAAGACCATAAAAATGCCATATAATTTGTCGAACTTATACCAAAGGAATCCCTTAATACTGTGTAATCGTGGAAAAAAGATGTCCTTAGGTTTACAACAAGGTATTACGATTGAGGGACTCTATAGCAACTGAGGAGCTTGGCATTTCAACCCGAAAGAGAGTTTGCAATTAAGTTACTTCCAGAGTACCAGTGATTTCTTCGACTCAGTAATGGTCAGGGCTTCAAATAGGATTCGACTTTCAGAAATGTCGAATTCCATATAAACTTAGATGACTTAATGCTAAGCGAACCCTTCTTAACAAATCTCGTTGTTTGGCCATTTAATCGATAGGTACTATTTTGACATTTATTATTTCTCTCATTCTCCAATAAATCATTAGAATATGTAACGCTACGCTTGCAGTTTCGTGATAGATCGCGACATGCATAGCTGTAATTGCTATTTATCTTTTTCTTTCTTTCTTTATCAATCTGTGACGCAATGCTTAGAGAGTAGCTCGAAATAAAGGCGTAGTTGTCGTTCTTCGATCCAGCGCTCTGGACTCACCAAGCTTTCCATCCCCTGCTGTGGGCGGCAATTTACTACAAGATTAATTTGGGAAGATAGCAGCACTAATATGACTTTATAAGTGTGTAGGTTCAAGTATGCATTCAGTCTCCTTACGACGCAAGGAATGGATTTGGATGCATGATGCGACCATAATGGATTAATTAACGACGAACGCTTTATGCTCTCTTGATTTACCAACCTGTACGTGCAATTCGATAGTGACGTTCACTCCTTCGGATTCTGGCAACAAATGCTCATCATACTCCGTAAGCAACGTATCGATGAGTTTGCCGAGATTTATATTATTTCGTGAACATTTACGTGATGTCACATCACCTACGATGCTAGCAGCTGTGTATCGAATTGCTACCAAAAGCAGTAGGTAGACGTGAAGCCTGAAGTGGTACGTACATTTAGACACGCGCGTGAGAATAACCTATGGGAAATAAATAAAAACATACTGGTATAATAGGATAATTCATAATATGAAATAAAACGTCAGCGGAAATAGAGCAGGCAAAATAGTCCTTTCAATTTTCGTTCCATTTAGGGCAGACTCAATCAGTTTCATCCAATTACTATTAGTACCATATTTCTTCCTAACAATAAAGTTCACAAACCTATTTCGTTTTAACATGTGTCAGTTCTTTAATATTTGCTAGAAAGGAACCTAGTTGAAAGACAGGCGAAACGAAGGACCCGCATAGCGTGGTGGTGAACGCGCTAGCCCGCGGAAGAGAGTATTAGAGCGTTCGTTCCACAACGCAGACACCCGCCGTCCGGAGTTTTGCAGACATCTTACCATCACTGTGGTTGTATTTCGCATAACACTCTGTCATAAACTGTGGAAGGCATCAAATAAAAAGACAACACTTTTAATAATTGTTTATGCATGCAAACCAATGCGTAATAAATGGTAAACAATCCCCTTCAACAAGAAAACAGAACGATTTGAACGACGTGTTGACAATTTCACACATTTTTCTACCGTATGTCATTTAAGTCCTTCGAATTTCTAAGCATTGCGCTCACTCTAATAATTCATTATTCTAAAGTTCCTACCCAGCGGCCATATTCCGTCACTGAATTGAAGGGTTTCGCAATTTCCAATTACGCAGAAATTATGCGCTCTCTTCAAAATATAGAACCTATTAATTTAGGGAAGGAAAGAAACAGAAAAAACAGTGAAAACTCATGAATAATCTTGCCGTGTCTTTTTTCCTTCAATTTTCCTACGATTTAGGGTTGATTCAAACAAAACAGAGGTTTTCCAGAAGTCCACGAATACCGGAAGGTTGAGAAAAAAGAGACAAGATGTTATTTTATTCCTTTGGTACAAGCTTACTACAAGCTGACGTTTTGGCGGATTTCGCTTTCCTCAGAGCTTGGAAAGGTCAAGTTGACAGCAATCTATTCGGTCAAACACCTCCATAACCAAACAGAAAAAACTCTAAACCAAGATTTCAATCACATTTAACGCAGTTCTGCACTCTCACCGCGCGAGTCTTCCACTGAGTATGTCGCGTGGAGACCAACCGCACAGAGTTCAAACGTAATCGTATTGCGCTCATCTCATCAAAATAACAGGCTTGTATACTGCCCAATATCACACGTGATAATGAGGCATTCTTCCCTGCGGTTCATTTTGGGATTTCTGGAATTAATCCAGAACGCCTCGAGAGTTTTGAGCGTTTGTGTGCTCGATTCCTGTGCGAAGATCGTGACATCTACTTCAAAGTACTCCTCGTTATGTCTAGGGGTCCTATGCGTGCCTAGCGGGGTATTTGGTTTATGTTTGTCGGCTAGGTGTTCCTTTATGCGGACACAGAGGGGTCCTTCCGTCTCGCCAATGTATTCGTCTCGCCTTACAGGAGATCAGATAAACAATACCCGAGCTCATGCAGTCGCCGCCTTTACTATTGGGACAAATTATGCAACTTTGCGTTGCACATAGACGGTCATATAGGCGGTTACGAACTGGCTAGCGCCTAAGATTACTCGGTGGCATTTCAATTATCGTTACCGAATTGTCTAGACTGGTCCTTCTTAAACAGTGTTTTATAACTGAACTTACATCATTTGAAATGAATGGCAGTATAAACAGAACCATATTGTCGCTACAGTTATCGCTTGGGTACCTGTGGTTTTCTCTACACCTATCCCGAGCTACAGTTTCGTAGCCATTAGAAATGGCTATTTGCCGCGCCATGTTCCGGGACTCCACTCTCTGCTCTCTTCCAGTGCACGTGTTGGTTGCTGTTCGAAACATGTTTCTTGCAAGCGCCCTTTCCGTGTGAGAGTGGTGAGAGGAGAGGTAATCAACCAAGATGCTTTTACTACTTGGCTTTCGGTACTACTTCGTAATGTAGCCATTTTCTGAGAGGTTGATTTGGACGTTCAAGAATGGAAGCCATTTTTCTTGCGGCTTTTCTCGGGTGAACTTGATATACTCTGACTGTTCATTTAACAACTCGAAACATTTGTCCATTTCCTCTTGTGTTGAGCAAAGGACAAAGCAGTCATCTATATATCTACAGTAGAGTAGCGGCCCGAGATCAATCACCGGTGCTTCCATCTTAGACATAAACGCAATGGCGAGACTTGGTGCCAGTCGTTGTCCCATTGCCAACCCTCTCGTTTGAGCGTAGTACTTTCCGGACCATCAGAAGATTGAGCAGCCCAAGCATTCTTTTAAGAGCGCCATCAACTGCTCTATCTTGAAGTCATAAACATTTATTTCTCCTTCGTGTTGCATAAGGAGTTCGAATATGGCTTGCATTGCCGAGTCATTCGACACGTTTGTATAAAGGGCGGTAACGTCGAAGGACTCCATCACGTACCCGCTGCTGGGCTGCGCAGAACGTAGACGACCCAGAAACATTTGTGTGTTCGTTAGACGGCCTGAAATGTACTTCAGCAACTGGGTAAGTATTAGGGTTGTTAATCATGTTATTCTATCCATTGGCCCGTCCACGTAGCTAATGAAAGGTCTAACCTTAAATAATGATGGATCGGTAGACGAAAGATCATCGCTGGATACTAACTTATGAGTTTTCATAAGCAAGTAAAAGACGGGACATGTTGGTAAGTCAATTTTGAGATGAGAGATAACTGATGGTTTTAACCCAACCGCTCTTGCCATTTTAACCCACTCGTTGTTTAACTTTTGCTATTTACTTTTAAACTCCTCAGATGATGGGTGATAACGTGAAACATCTTCAAAATGCTTTTACGTTATCTTAACATCTAACCGTTGAGGAATTACGACAAACTCTCCACTCTTAGCACTAACGGATAGTCTTATGTTTTTCAACCTTATTAGCTCTCCTACCTCTCGCATACCACGTTTTTGCACTTTAGTGAGGTTTGAGCTGTATCAAAAACGTGGTATGCGAGAGGCACGAGAGCTGATAAGGTTGAAAAACATAAGACTATCAGTTAGTGGTAAGGGTGGAGAGTTTGTCGTAATTCTCCATCGTTTAGATGTTGATATAAGGAAAAAGCATCTTAAAGATGCTTCACTTTAACGCCCATCATCTGAGAAGGAGGTTAGAAGCAAATACCGAAAATTGAACCACGAATGGGACAAAATGGCAAGGGCTGCTGGTTTAAACCATCAGTTATCTCTCAACTAAAAGTTGACTTACCAACATGCCCCGTCTTGTACTTGCTTATAAAAACTCATAAGTTAGTATCCAGCGATGATCTTGCGTCTACCGATCCATCATTATCTAAGGCTAAACTTTTCATTAGCTGCGTGGACGGGCCAATGGATAGAATAACATGATTAACAACCCCAATACTTCTTCACTTGTTGAAACACATTCCAGCTCATCTTACGAATACCCAGATGTTTCTGGATCGTCTACGTTCTGCGCAGCCCAGCAGCGGGTACGTGATGGAGTCCTTCGACGTTACCGCCCTTTATACAAACGTGTCGAAAACTCAGCAATGCAAGCCATATTCGAACTCCTTATGCAACACGAAGGAGAAATAAATATGTACGGCTTCAAGATAAAGCAGTTGATGGCACTCTTAAAAGAATGCTTAAGCTGCTCAATCTTCAGATGGTCCGGAAAGTACTACGTTCAAATAAGAGAGTTGGCAATGGGACAAAGACTGGTTCCAAGCCTTGCCATTGCATTTATGTCTAAGGTGGAAGCACCGGTGACTGATCTCGGGCCGCTACTCTACTGTAGATATATAGATGACTGTTTTGTGCTTTACTCAACACAAGAGGATATGGACAGATGTTTCAAGTTGTTGAACAAACAGTCAGAGTATATCAAGTTCACCCGAGAGAAACCGAAAAAAAATGGCTTCCATTCTTGAACGTCCAAATTAACCTATCAGAAAATGGCTACATTACGAAGTGGTACCGAAGGTCCCGTTTATACTGCCATTCATTTCAAATGATGTAAGTGCTGCTATAAAACACTGTTTAAGAAGGACTGGTGATGATAATTCGGTAACGATAATTGAAATGCCACCGAAAGTTGCATAATTTGCCCCAATGGTAAAGGCGGCGACTGCATGAGATCGGGTATAGTTTATATGATCTCCTATAAGGCGTACGGAGACGAATACATTGGCGAAACGGGCAGATCCCTCTGTGTCCGCATAAAGGAACACCTAGTCGGCAAACATAGACCAAATACCCCCTGGGCACACATAGGATCCGGAGACATAACGGGGAGGACTTTGAAGTGCGTGTCACGATCCTCGCGCAAGAATCGAGAACACAAGCGCGTAAAACTCTAGAGGCATTCTGGATTAATTCCAAGAATCCGAAAATGAACTGCAGGGAGGAATGCCTCGTTATCACGCGTGATATTGGACAGTATATAAACTTGTTATTCTGATGGAAGGGGCACATTACGCTTCCATGTGATTTCTGTGCGGTCGGTTTTCACACGACATACTCAGTGGAAGCCTATAGAAAGCAGTGAGTGTGCAAAACTGTGTTAAATGTGATTGAAATCTTGGTTTAGCGTTTTCTCTGTTTGGTTATGGAGGTGCTTGGCCGAATAGATTGCTGTCAACTTGACCTTTCCAGGCTCTGAGAAAGCCGAAATCCTCATAAAAGTCAGCTTGTACGTAAATGAAGAAGTGACACCTCGTGTTTGCTGAACAGAAGTGGAAAGAATTATTCAATCAATGCCGAAGTTAAGAGAAAGTCGGACGTAGGAGTTACTAAAAGAGACAAGAATTTTTCCGTTATTGGAAACTTAACTATTCCAGGTTGTATAATGCTCACTGCTGTTTATAATAGTTATCCCACTTGATCCTAGCTTTTGATATGTTTTTGTTGTGCAATTCAAGATCGCTCACTACTGATGAAAATTCGCTAGCAATAGATTACTTCAGATAATCAACGCCGCCCGTTCCCTCACCCCCCCTGATAGCTCACTGCTTCATGGTGAGTGGGGAATGCTTGTGGATTTCAAAGTTGGCCAACAGCATGTGGTTCCTTAACGTCGCATAAGCCGAAAAGTTCAATATTTCTATATGGGAGGCTAGCTATGTGTACTTACTTGGCACTTGAATGGCCCATCCTCACTAGTTGTGCAAGCCCCAACATAATCTCCATTTTTCGCAAATTTGCTGGTTAAGCTATTGTGGTTCCCTGGAATCCCGAGGTCAGCCTGGCCAAAGTCTGCCCCAGCTCTTCACCACCACAGACAGTCGCAGCACTTTTGCCACCA